ATCTATCTATCTATCTATCTATCTATCTATCTATCTATCTATCTATCAAGAAATCAAATGGAATTAGAGTGATCAAAATTCTCAGACTTTAAACTTACAAAATCCAAATTTAAGATCATGAAATCAATTTACAATGATGACATAAAACCCAAACTCTTGGGCTCTGAGTAGCTGCTCTGAGAATATGTGGTGGTTTGAATAAATATGGTCACCATAACTCATGTGCTGGACTGCTTGGCCAGAGGGAGCTGCACTCTTGGGAGGTGTGGCCTTGTTGGAGGAAGTGTGTCTTTGTGGCTTTGAGGTATCCTATGCTTAAGCTACACTCAGTGTGGCACACAGTCTCGTTCTGCTGCTTGAAGAGCAAGACGTAGAACTCTCAGCTCCTTCTCCAACACCATGTCAGCCTGGACGTTGTCATGCTTCCCATCATGATGATAATGGACTAAACCTCTGAAATTGCAAGCCAGCCCAATTAAATGTTTTTCTTGATGAGAGTTGCCGTGGTCACGGTGTCTCTTTACAACAATAAAACTCTAAGAAAGCATAATGCCTCTTTCACTACTGTACCTACAATCAATTACCTATTTGTAAACAAATAATATTTGAGAAATAGGGAACTTAACAAGTTAAAGGTGGACCTAACAGGCTTTCAGCCATGCATACTGCTGTCAGATGATTATATTACGACGAGGAAAACCCAGAATGTTTAGCACTGAGGATACACAAGCACGGAAGTTCAGTCATACCCACCACATGTGGAGAGGGGTGGCCAATGCCTTCACTACTTACAATTCTGTTTCTCGCTGAGGATGGAAAAAAAGTGGCCTCATCTTCAATGAGGAAGAGTTCCTGGCGGTGTCTGCTGAACTGGGCAGTGAAATACTCGGGTTTAGGATATTTCACAGTGGCTGGGAGCTTCACAGGCCCGAGCATGTAACTTAGGGGTGGGTACTTTGGCCTCGGGATGTCACTCAACTTAATAGGCATCTTGATTCCTAGCACTTCAGCATAAGTGACTAGCACCTCCCATGGGGCATGGATCTTCACAAAATAGGTCCTTCCGTCTTCAGAGTTCTGCATAAGAAAAAAGACAGTGTAGAAGAAAGCTAATGACTAAAGAAATAAAATCTCAAAGATGAAAATAAAATTTAAATTTACTTAATTTTAGGCCACTTTTTTTTTTTTTTTAAGGAAATGAGATTTCTTTAAGATGTTTATGCATGCCCATGGCAGTTCAGTGTCCAAGTGGGTTCCATAGTAATGGGAAGAGGGACTGCCTCTGATATAAACTGATTGGCCTGCTCTTTGATCACCTCCCCCTAAGGGGGGAGCAGCCTTACCAGGCCACAGAAGATGACAATGCCGCCACTCCTGATGAGATCTGATAGACTAAGATCAGAAGAAAGGAGAGGGGGACCTACCCTATCAGTGGACTTGGGGAGAGGCATGCATGAAGAAGGAGGAGGGAAGGTGGGATTAGGAGGGGCGGAGGGAGGGGCTTATGGGGGGATACAAAGTGAATAAAGTGTAACTAGTAAAAGTTAACAAAATATTAAACAAAAAAAGATGTTTATGCAAGTGTACTGTGGATGTTTGAAGAAAAATGGCTTCCACAGACTCATGTGTTTGAATACTTGGTTCCTAGTTAGTGGAACTATTTGGAAAGGATTAGGAGTTATGACCTTGTCGGAGGAGGTATGTTGCTAGGCGAGAACTTTTTAAAATTATTTTTTATTAATTACAGTTTATTCACTTTGTATCCCAGATGTAGCCCCCTCCCTCATTCCCTTCTAATCCCACCTTCCCTCCCTCATCTCCTCCTATGACCCTTCCCAAGTCCACTGATAGGGGAGCTCCTCCTTCCCTTTCATTTGACCCTAGCCTATCAGATCTCACCAGGTCTGGCTACATTGTCTTCCTCTGTAGCCTGGTAAGGCTTCTCAGGGAGAGGTGATCAAAGAACCAGCTGCTGAGACATGTCAGAGACAGTCCCTGTTACCATTAGTAGGGAACCCACTTGGAGACTGAGCTGCCATGGGCTACATATGTGCAGGGATTCTAGGTTATCTCCATGAATGGTCTTTGGTTGGAGTATCGGTCTCAGAAAAGACCCCTGTGCCCAGATTTTTTGGTTCTGTTGCTGTCCTTGTGTAGCTCCTGTAACCTTCAGATATTTCTTTCTATCTCACCCTTCTTTCATAAGATTCTCTGGGGGAGAACTTTGAAGTTTCAAAGTCCCATTCCAGGCCCAGTGTCTCAGTTCCTGCCTTTTATTGTGAAGGAAGATGCACTCTCTCAGCTGTTCCTGCCTCCACACCTTGTTCCTCCACCATATATTCTAATCATCTGAAATAATAGGCCTCAGATAAACTTTTATAAGTTGCCTTGGCCACAGTGTCTTATCACAGCAAAAGAAAAGAAAGTAAGAGATGTACTAACATAAATATGCACACACATATATGTACATTATATTCATGTGCATAAATGCATGTCATAGGGAGAGTCACGGTGACACATGCAGACTGAGGGAGAATTTTATTTAAAATATATTTCAGATCTATGGCTATACTAGCATGAATATACTCAGTGTCATCTAAAACATACTTCAGTGTGAATGCGCACTCAGCACTAGATTGATTCACAGCTATATATAAAATTCTGGATACTATACTAGTTTTAAGTGAGCTTGAAATCATGATAATTATATGAGGTTATTAATATCTTATATTTATTATATTATACTATGCAATATGCATGTTGCTAGAGTTCTTAATCAGTTACTTCATAGAGCCCATGTGAAGGTCCACTACACAGGCATAGAAGTTACAAATTCTATTGTGTTGCACATATTTAATGGTTCAGCAAAAACAATTGACAAATAAGAATTAGAAAATAAAATCAAATTTAAAGGTTATCAGAAGAGCCATAGATAGAATGTCGTCTTTTTTTAATGTTTTGATTTATTTGTTTTTAAGTATATGAGTGCTCTATCTGCATGTATACCTGAACGCAAGAGGAGGATATCAGATCACATTATAGATGGTTGTGAGCCACCATGTGGTTGCTGGGAACTGAACTCAGGACCTCTGGAAACACAGACAGTGCTCTTAACCACTGAGACATCTCTCCAGCCCTAGAATGTGGTCTTAAGTAAGGCTTTAAACACAAGTTTAAAGGTAATTGAGGAGTAACCATGAATGAACATGTGTGGGGTTAAAGGATGAAGGAAGGTGAGCTATTCATGAACAGAGTATCATGGGTTAAATGGTGGGCTGTCCTGTAAAACAGCCATGCAGCTGTGTGCTATGTGCTAGGCGGCTTCAAGGTAAGACATAAGACATGCACACAAAGTGCTTCACCTTTCTGCACCCTGAGTAGAAAGTGTGTGCAGGTGAGTGAACTTGCATATGTGGGGTGCAGGTGTGGGTCTCAGTCTTGGTATAGTTCCTTAGATGTCATCCACTTCACTTGTTTTGAGACAGGCTCTTTTACTGGGACCTGAGGCTCACCAGTTAGGATAGGCTTGATGGACAGCATGTCCCAGGGACCCACTTGTTTCCTTCTGTTGACAATATCGGTACATTGCACGGCATCCAGATCTTATATGGTTTGGGGGTGAACCTTGTGCCTTCGCGCTCATATGGCAAGCACTTTACAGATGGACAGTATCTCATTCTCCATGCCCCTGTTCATTTTTAAGATGATTCGCTAATATTTCACCTCACTGACTGCTGACCTGCGGAAATGCAGGTCTTCTTGTCTTCATGCACATTTCTGTAGCCACTAGATTTATATACTGCTCCAACCCCAACATCTACCCAGCCAAAAACATGGATAGGACAAAAGCCCACTTAAAATGAGATCCTTGCTCAATTTATCAACTGTAGTTACCAGTTTGTCTTCGATTTCCAATTCAAGACCTGTTTTTCTGAGATTTAGTTCAAACTCTCGTCTTCTTTCCTGTGGCAAAAAAACAGATGAAAAGGTTGACGCAGCTACACTGTGTTAGTGGACAGTGCAAGCCTGGCACCCTATGTTAGTTGTCAATGTCATGGCAGCCCTTTGTGTTTGCTGGTAGTGCTGGGGTGGCTTATTAGTGTAAGGCACCAGTCCAACAGTCTATGTTAGCTGCCATGTCTAGCTAGCCTTGGTGATGGCTTATTAAGGGCGAGGCAGAGTCAGAATCTGTGGTTGTGCTTCCAGAGGGCTCTCTACATAAAAGTACCCTACAATACATCCTCACTGTCAGGCCATGGACTGCTTTTGACCTATACCATAAGTGACAAAACCATGGAACTACAAAATAGGAACAACCTGTAAGACACAGGCTTTATTTGAAGATATGGACCATTTTAATGAATGATTTAAAAGTATGGGAAGCCCTTGGGGACAGAGAGACACACACAGACTCCAGGCTGGATAGACTCAACATTACAGAAACTAGTGATCCTCAGATAAGTTACAGTTCTAATGCCACCAGAGGCCAGCATCTCATTGCAGCTTTTGCTTTTGAATAGCAACAGGGCTTTCGCTTAGAGAAAGAAAAGTTAGGATTCACTACAGGTCATGGCGCACCTGTCAGAGATTGTCTGCTTGCTTTGAAGTAGGAGAATCCACTTCTAGTCCAGACCTTTGAGACTGGAAGACACACTTAATTTCAGCCACACCTTCTGCTGGCAGCATATATAAGGATATGGAAGAAGGAGGCTTTTTCCAATTTACCTGTTTACGCTGACCTTACTAGTAAGTCTATTCCTTAACTGGCATTAGAGCCTACTTCTTCAGAAGTCCAGTGTATACTGAGAACCAGCTGAGATACCCAGATTTGAGGCCTGAACAACTTCCCAATTCATAGCCTGCCATTGTTGGATTAATTGGACCACAGCCTATAAATGATTATAATAAACTCTCTTTATATATAGGGAAGGAGATTCATTCTATAAGTTCTGCTGCTTTATAGAACCCTTAATAATATGTTAGTCAAGCCAGAGAAAAACTGAGAAATGGCTATTGCTCTTATGTGGAGATGAGTGTTTTAGTTGGGATGCATGGACCTTCTCATGTAGTACATAAGGAGTTGGGTTTACTTTAAGTGTATTTTTGGCAAACAAACATAATATGGGGGGACTGGACAGGAAAACATATGTAGCAGAGTGATTACAATTTTTGACTATCAGACTTAAGCTGCATGAAGATGACAGGAGTTGAGAACAGTCGCTATGAAGATACCTGCAGAACCTTATTTACTGCAGCTCTAGTCACATCAGTCAAATTGTGGAATCAGCCTGGGCGCTCATCAACAGATGTATTGAATCAGAATGCCTCAGATAGGTTCGCATATTCGAATGCTTCGCTATCAGAGAGTGGAGCTACTTAGAAGGACTAGGAGATGTGTCCTTGTAGGTTTTACTGTACATAACCAGTACAGTATTCCTGTACTACAGGCTATGCTACAGATTCCTGTAGCCTAACTGACATATGCTAAGGATTAGGAATAAGTATGGCTTTGTTGGAGAAAATGGGGGTGGGTTTTGGGATTTCAAGAGCCCATGCCAAGTCCAGTGACTTTCTCTCTTCATGCTACCTGTGGCTCCAGATCTAAAAATCTCAGCTACTTCTCCAGCACCATGTTTGCCTGAATCCCACTGTTCTCTCTTCTCCCTGCCATGATTACAATGGAGTAAACCTTTGAGACTTTAAGCAAACTCCAATTAAATGCTTTCTTTCATAAGAGTTGCTGTTGTCATGGTGTCTTTTCACAGCTATAGAACACTTACTAAGACAACAGGTAAGTGGACAAGGAAAATGTGGGGAAATAATTGGGAAAAATGAAATTATGTAGTTTGCATGAAGATCACTGGAAATCAGCATGTTAAGGGGAAAAAATCTGGATCAACTAAACAAGTATTGGCAGTGGAATTGGGGAGGTGTATGAAAGTAAAGATGTGGTAGAAAAATAAATGAAAAAAGGGATGAACATGATCAAAACATATTAGTGTATATATAATAATGTCACATTTTCTATAACCACCATATGCTAATGAAAAAATTTATAGAATGAAGGAAAAAGGGAAGCAAGGTGGAGGGAGAGAGGGAAGAAAGAATGAAAGGAAGAAAATAAGAAAGGAAAGAAAAATCATGCCAATATAATAGTATCTTTTCTGGTCTCTGTGTGATAAAAAAAAAAAAAAAAGATTACAGGCAAGCAAGATTCAAGAGGTGGGCTAAACAGACAAATGGAATGTACTTACCAATGATATAAAATTTTTTAAAAATGAATACTTAAACTATAAGCTCAAAACATTGATAAAGGACGTTTAAGGACAGAAATGACAAATGCCAAGATAAACACTTATGTGTGTGCTCATGGTCATCAGAAAAGAGGGGTGGAAAAGAGAATGACAGTGAGCCAAAGCTAACAGTGGGAGAAATAAAGAAAAGACTGGGGGCTGAAGAAATAAAAATTAGGTGAAGTTAATGATATTCAAAACTCTGGAATTTTAGGATCAAGAGAGGAAGAGTAAAGTCAACAGGGGTCCTCAGCATGTACTGTCCCTTCTGAGAAGGAAGATGGCCATAAGAAGCAAAAATCCTCATGGAAGTTTCAGGTGTGAGAGGAGCATCCACCAGAGATATGAAAAGATCCAAAGCTGGCCACTCTATGAATTTCAGAGGCATAGATGGGTAGTCACTGGAACAAGCTAGAAAGATACGAAACTAAGGAAGTTCGTGTTTTGGAGATAACATTCAGTTTTCAGGTTTTATATGTACATGCATATAAATCATTACACATGTACATCAACTCACTTATTCATTGTTTGTAATACTGGCTAGCTACTGAGCACTCATCACACTTTACCAGCATTCTGAGCACCTAGGGAAAGAACAATCAGCGAGACAATATGCTTGACCTTGTGAAACTACCTTGTGGTCTTAGAGGAAGTAAAGCAGAGTATAAAAAAAACAACTCAGAAGGTAATTAGTGGTGGAGTCAGGATTAGAGCTTGTACAAAGGGTATTATTTATGAAATCTGTTGGCCATGCACTTTGAAGATGAAAACTGCATAAACTAGATAAACGATTTTTTTTGTTTGTAATGTCTTTTTATTTTTCTAATATTAGTTACAGTTTATTAATTTTGTATCCCTGCTGTAGCCCCCTCCCTCATCCCCTCCCAATCCCACCCTCTCTCCCTCATCTCCTCCCTGCCCCTTTCCAAGTCCACTGATAGGGGAGGACCTCCTCCCCTTTCATCTGACCCTGTTTTATCAGGCATCTTCAGGGCTGGCTACAAAGTCCTCCTCTGTGGCCTGGTAGGGCTGCTTCTCCCTCGGGGGTGGGGGGAGGAGAGGTCAAAGAGCCTGCCATTGAGTTCATGTCAGAAATAGGCACTGTTCCCCTTAATAGGGTACCCGCTTGGATACTGAACTACCATGGGCTACATCTGAGCAGAGGTTCTAGGATATATCCATACATGGTCCTTGGTTGGAGAAACAGTCTCCTAAAAGTAGATAAGCGATTTTTAACCTGTGGGATGCAACTACATAGTGATTCATAATAATAGCAAAATTACAGCTATGAAGTAGTAAAAGAATAATCTTATAGTTGGGGTCAGCACAACATGAGGAAGTGCATTAAAGAGTCTCAGCATTGGGAAAATTGAGAACCACTATGCTAGATTCATAGATACATCTTTTATTTGTGGGATCATGCATAATATATAAAGCAAGGTGTATGAAATAGATATCACTTGCATAGAAAGAGAACTGAGAAAAAGAGGAAAAAGGAAAAAAGAAGAGAGAAGAAGGGAGGAGAGAGAAGTTGTCACTGTTATCACCTCCAAAACATTCAGAAAATGAATGTTAGCTGTTAGGCTCTATACTCAGTAGGTTCTCAGTCAGTTCTGTCTATTGAAAATTTGTCTTGTTACTCCCCACATCTCCCAGATAAGTACTCACTGCCTTTAGCTCTGAGTCTTTCTTCATATCATCCACGTAGGAAAGGACAAAGTCGATCTGTCTAATTCCATCTGTGAAGAAGACTGAATCTTTGCTTTGTTCCCTTTTTTGAAACTGTAGAAGACATACATGACATGATTTCACATTATCATTTATTCTCAAAAGGCAAAGAAATGAAGGAAACTAGCTGTAATTTGGCTATCACTTCATTTTTTCTATACTTCACACAGTGAGTCATGACAAACCAAAAAAAAAAAAAAAATTACGTCCTTCTTATAAAGCAAAATTCCACAGAGGATTAAATGTTATATAATCAGGAAGGGATGAAACAAATTAATTGCATGCTTAAACACATTAACAACGTCTCACAAAAATACTGCAATTAGGCCAAAATGTAAGATGTATATACTTATACATTGAAATTAAAAGTGCACATTCAGGCAGAAATGTGTGGTTTTAATAAAACACCACACCAATTAGTATACTACATTATTATGCACTTTTTCCAGGGCGTGATTAATTACACACCAACTACAGTCTCACCATGTGAACATAAGGTGTTAGTGATTACAGATGTACACAAATCAAGGAATCAGAAGCAGGTGGCTGGCCAGCCGACCTCACCATGGCTAAGCCCTACAAATGTCTGTTATCAGTGTCTCAGGCATGCTATAATCCATGTTTTCTTTATAGGTGTATGGATTTTCTCAATATAATAGTAAGAATTACACGTTCACCTTTTACATGAAGTTCATGAATTTTTGTAACAGCAAAACAAAACAAAGAAACAAACAACACTGAGTATTGCAGGGGAGAAAGCTTTCACATATGATTTTGTACTCCTCACCATTTATGTGAAAGGTGTAATACTTTGTACTTGTAACAGCCCAGTGTGAGGCTTGGCCATGCAGTGGTTGGTGAGTGATGTGGGCTGTCCCCCGCTGCCTCCTGTAGCTGGTGGATGGGAGCTAGAGCCCTTGCCTTTTCCCAGCAGGTATGATGCCTGTGAGCATCTTCTGCAGCCCCGTGCTGTTGGCTGCTTTGCGCTTGTCAGCCCAGCTGAGAGGTCCCATAAAAGGGACAGGTGGTGGCCAGGAACAAACAGGACTGTGAACAGTCATTCTATTTACCCACGAGTTCCTGGCAACTGTGGTAGAGTATAAAAAGGCTTTCAAGGCGTGTGAGGAGAAGAGTGGAGAAATGCACACAAAAACAAAAATGACCGGTAAAACAGGGAGAACAGATGAAGTATCAGAATAATGTAAGTAAAAATAAATAAATAAGACCCACAGCCTTCTCTTCTTTTATAAAAGAATGCAAAAAAAAAAAAAAAAACCTGAGAAAAATTAAGCTGCTATGCTTTGACTATAAATCAGTTTTTAATATGGGAAAATAAATAAAATAACCATTGACATTGTTGTACAACATTATAAAATTAACATATTTGATAAAATCTACCAAAATGTATGGACGCTATTTGGCTAAAGAGATATAATTAGTCCACATATAATAAAAGGACAAAGTAAAAAAAAAAAAAAAAAAAAACAAGATAACACCTTTATCTGTGTATATATTTGTGTATATTTGTCCTTAGAGATGCCCAGTTACTACAAAGTAATACTTGGTGGCATCTAGCTTACTATGACTTACATTCCTGGTGATTCCTGAGCCTCTGAAACTATTTGCACTGTGTATGTGAATGTGTTTGCATGAATTCTTTTAGGAAACAGACTCGTCAAATAGAAAGATTGAGAATCACCATGGTTAAATGTTGTCTTCTTGGGAACTTGTAATCAGTGAAAAGTCCCTTAGTGTGGATAGCATTTATGACACAGAAAGCACTCAGGCTGTTACTACAGACACTCAAGCAGCCAGCACTCTTTTACCATAAGACGCCTCCTCAGGAACAAGTTGAATCGCTTCTCAGGCTGTGAAGTAACCAATGGAGAGTTGGCAAATCCTGCTTAGGGCTCAAGATTTCAGCACACAGACACGTGGACCAATAAGCTATGCTCTGGGGTAGGTGGCTCTGCTGAGACATTTCAGCCCCAGGGCGAGGCTGTTGTGTTCCCTCAGAGGAGGGGCTTGCTACCGGAAGGGGCTTAGTTTATATCACAGCAAGCCGAGCTCCACAGTGTCGATGACAGGGTAGAGCAGGTGGTGCTGCTGACTCAGAGCAAGGCTGGCACTGCCTCAACACCAGGCAGCTAACCACAATAACCCCAGCGTTAATTATTCCAAATCACCACGACACCGAAACAGCCGAACGCCTGCGTAGACGCCGGCCCCCGGAATGTCGGTGTTTGGTGAGTTTCTCTCGCGTTATGTCCACCTGCGCTAGGTTTGTCCCAGGGAATCCTTTCACCCTCTGAAACATCACAGGCACCACAGGACTCTCAGTGCTCTCCCTGCTACTGCACAAACCTCCAGTATGTGTACACAGCATTTAAAGCTGAATAGTAGAGGAATAGAACATAAAGGAAGATAAAATGGAGAGAAGGAAGCGGAACAACTTTCAAAACATGTTTGGAACTTAGATGAGGGAGAAAAGAAATGATGAAAAAGTGTAGTAATAACAGAAATACAAAGTGAACCTGTCTTGTTAAACATTCTTCTATAAAGAAACATAGCAAACCTCAACATTATTCTGGGTGATTGACAGTGTGGGAAATTTGCATAGTATCACAGTGTGGGGACACACACCTATAACCCCAGAAGGACTTGAGCATTCCAATCCAGCCCAGGACACAAAGCAAGACTTTGTGCCCAAAAGACCAGGAAAGAAAAAAGTTGACATAGGGTTTAATTTTAAATATTCCAGGACTTCCCCAGATACTGAGGGGGAAAAGGAAATATTATTCAATTATTGAAATAATGAATGCTCTTCAATCTTTTATTACCATGGTATCATTTAAGAAACTAAGTAAATGACCTGAAGTTACCCAGAAGAATGAAGACTATCTGAAAAAGCTCTCTGGTTGAGTGCTCTGAGTGCTTAGCAGGCAGGCAGAAGCCCCTGTGTACAATTCTCTGGACTACGAGAAGAAAACTTTAAAAAAAAAAAAACAAGTCCATTACATTCATGGGCCCAACATTGCTCATAGTTAGTAAAAATGAAACAGTAACACATAAATTATCATTAAAAGAACTCAGTCATTCACAGGAAGGATTGTTTCAACTCTGGGGCAGCCTTAGTAGCCAGTGGTCGTTGGTGTGTGTGCTGGCTAGTTTTATTATGTTAACACAAGCTAGAGTTACCTAAAGGGAGGGAACCTCAACTGAGAAAACACCTGCATAAGATCAGGCAGTAGGCAAAGCGTTTTCATAATTACTGACTGATGGGGAAGGGCCCAACCCATAGTGGATGGTGCAAACCCTGGGCTAGTGGTCTTGCATTCTATAAGGAAGCAGGCTAAGCCAGCCATGATGAGCAAGCCAGTTAAGTAGCACCTCTCCATGGCCTCTGCATCAGTGCCTGCCTCCAGGTTCCTGTACTATATAAGTTCCTGTCTTGATTTCCTTTGATGATGAACAGTGTTGTGATAGTGTAAGACAAATAAACCCTTTCCTCCTCAACTTGATTTTAGGCCACAGTCATGGTTGAAATAAAAACCCTAATTAAGTGTGAAATTGCTATTCTGAGATCTAATGAGTGTTTGTGTGTGCAGATAGGGGGCCACTGCTGTTCACTCATGGTGGACATCAGTCACTGCATTAACTACATGGTTCTGCTGCTCTGAAGTTCTTCTCCTCTGTGCTTGGATTCTCCTGGCATCTTTAGTGAGACCTGGGGATTACTGTCATGCACTGATGTTTTCCCTGAATTGACCATAGATTCAATAAGAGACATGAGTGAACTGGATGGTATGGTGAGCCTCGTGGTCTCTGTCTGGAGTGATGAAAGTCAACCAACCCAAAAGGATCACAGACTAAACTCAATTAAATGCTATCTTGCAGAAGAAAATCAGAGAAATTGTCCTTTACAGTGATGCAAGAAAAATATTTCTTAAGGAGGACACAAAAGTTATGGGCCATTAAAGAAAAAAGAAGGGAAACTGAACTTTAAAAACATTTATTTTAGAGAAAGGAAATAAACCCAGGGATACTCCAGTCAAAAACCACGATGCTTTTCTCCAGCCCTCCTCACCTGTGTTTAAACTCAAGGAGTCTCATGTACTTGATTTTCTCCTGGTTCCAGAAACAGTTCCTTCCTCCCCATTCCCTAGCCCCACAGGCAGTACTAGATGGAAGGCTGCTATCCATGTGTATGTTGGGAAGCTCCTGCATTTGTGGCAGTCTAAACAAGTGATCCTTGACTTACTCTATTTTGAATGTGTCTAAAATGATCTAGAGTGATAAAAATTCATGATAATCAGTCATAATGAAAACCAAAGATCTCTAGAGAAGTGATTCATTCTAGGGTTCAGACGAGAAATGTACAAGGTGAGCTTGCTGTATTTTGTAGTGTCAGAAATGACAAAAACATTAAAAATGAAACAGAACACAACAACAGGGTATGTCCAAGTTATACAGGCTACACTAAAATGTTCTCTACTTCAGTGTAATAACGTATTACCGAGTTTATAGCACAAGACATAACATAAACACATATGAGTTAATGTGGGGGAGGAGGGGTGGAGAAGAGAAAGGTCTCCTATAGAAGCATTTCAGGGAAGGGGAATGTGGCTTCATGGTGGAACATTTGTTAGATGGTCCTGGGTTCAATCTCTGATACTGTAATTGACAGTAAAAACATCATTACTATCATGCAATTTAAGTTTAAGCACGACCTCTAGTCCTTATGTGCCTACTGCCTACTAACCCAGAGATTAGTACCATGTAGGAAAGAAAAACTCTTTCCATAGAGAATCCTGAGAGAACTTACTTCAAGCCAAGGCTACATTTTCTTAATTTGCCTAGGACATGCTGCAATGCTAGCCACACTGTTTTCTTTCTCCATCTCCAGTCTGAGTCACGACAAACATATGAGTAATGTTACCACTGAGGTTCATTCTACACAGTAAAGGCCAACATCAACCTTGGAGATCAACAGATACAAGCAAGGCTTTTGGAATTGTCTTAGTTGGGAGGTACAAAGGAGACATGGCTCCTAAGCCCAACTAAGGACCCTCAAAGACAATGTCAGCAGAAACTGAGGACACTTGAACTCCATTTCCTGTCTTCTCAAACAGCACGCTTATTGACTCAGCAAATAAAAAAATACCTAAACTTGATAAAATTTAAAGTCTAATAACTTCTGAACTGATCCAACTTTAATTTTTAACGTATAAATTATGATTATTCTTAGTCATTAATTTATGGAAGCATATTGTAATGGATCAAGGCAGAGGGTTCAAGTCCAAGACCCTCTCCATAAGCACAGGGAAATTTTGATGGAGCCTCTACAAAACTGGAAATTATTAAAATGCAAACTGACACCCTTTATATGTCATTCTCATTACAATGTGTGATGTAATTTTTCAAATAAATGATTTTTTTTTCCAAAATGAATACATTAAGATACAGCACTAAAGGGCCAGGGATTTAGGTGACAGTACCCCAGTTCAGGCCGTGGAAGGATATCTGTGTCCGTCCACCCAGGAAAGGAAGCATATTCTACTGCTTACCAGTGCCTCTGACTCTGTGCTGATGAGAAAGCTGGTCTCCTTGGCGCTCAAGCTCTGTCAATAGTAAAAGGTAAGGTGAAGGAGAGGGAGATACAGTGCTGTTAAGGATGGCTTGAGTAAAACAATCAAATCATTTAAGTTTCCAAAGCAAGAACAGCGAGCTTCTCTCTGTGGAAATACTACACCATGAAACCACAAACCTGAATGCCATTTCCCCTTCTGAAACGGTATGTAAAGTTGTATGTACTAATATATACTTTCATGTGTATATGTAGTTGTGCGGGGGTAGAAAGCAAAAGAGAGAGGGAAGGAATGGAGAAGAGGAAAGGGAGAGAGAGGGAGTTGTAGAGAAAGCTCTATTAAGTCAGGAGAGGATCTGCAACAGGTGAAATTGTTAAAAACTTCTACACCACAGTATGGTAACCAGGAGCGCTGCTATTTTAAGGATTTTGAGTAGTACCAAAATGGAATACACATCACTGACCAGATGTTTCATGATTTTCTTGCCATTGGCCTGAAATTATTAAAAATCTGTAGCTTTGGAGACAAACATGTCATTCTTTTAAAAATGCATAATGGAAGAAAAATCCAGTTGTGTATATAATACACTCAAGCCACTTGCAGCTAGAGCGTTTCTTCTTTCTTGGACATGGGTTTCCAGTACACTTGAGAACTGTAAATGTGCTCAGTGATCCACATATCACCAAACTGGCTCCTGAGGTCCCCTTTCTTACTTTCTGAATTTCTGGGAATGAGGTAAGGACTGCTCCCAGCTAACAAAAGTGACTTGAGATCTATATACACACTGGACACTCAGTTACATCTTTTTGGGAGGATCACATCCAACATCTCACTATGACTGGTTGGTTCTGGGCAAATCAGTCTTAAAAAAAACTAATAATCATGGATTAAGGATACTTTAGGAGCTTTTGGGAATATTCTCATAAGTTACACAGTGGATTGGGCCAGGAAAAAATACAGCCTCTCTGCCTTCTGACTGATGTCAAAGATGCTGCTAAGCCTGTGCTTGTATTCAAACTACTTCAGCCAACCCAAGTTACACTTATGAATCCCATTTGTTTTTCAAAATATCACAAAATGTCAAATAAAACTCACCATTGGATAATTCTGAAATGGCAGCCTCTACTACAACAAATGGTGAAGGGGGAGAGAAAGAGATGTCTCAGAGGTAAAGAGTGATTGCTACTTTTTTTTGAAGACCTGAGGTTGGTTCCAATCAGCACCTGTACCTCTTTCTGTGACCTGTACACTGTCTTTTGGCCTCCATGAGCACCTGAACGCACAAGCGTATCATACACACATACGCATTTCAATAGAAGCAAAAATAACCTTTTAAAAGCTATAAAAATTAAAATAAATGGTGAATCTCCACTTCCGCCATGAAAACAATAAAGGAATTTAGTTTGTTCTTTCTTGGCTCAAGAGCCTAGTAGTGCCTTCACTCTACCACAACACAGAAAGCACAGTTGTTTTAAGTGTGAAATGGCTGAAGGTTACGCAGTAATATTCTTAAAGAAAGTTGGTAGGGAACTTGACTATCTCTGACCTTAGAAAAAAAATAAAAGTTTGTTCTAATTGGGCCCCCAAACCTACAATTATTTCTTCAGCTTGAAAATAAAGTGATGAAGTTTCTCTTTTTCTTTTTAAAACCTCTTTGCTGAAATGGTGGGAACTAGAAATGATCATCCTGAGTGAGGTATCCCAGAAGCAGAAAGACAAAGTATATACTTACTCATAAGTGGACATTAGACATATAATATAGGATAAACATACTAAAATCTGTACACCTGAAGAAGCTAAACAAGAAGGAGGACTCTGGGTAAGATGTTCAATCCTCAATCAGAAAGGCAAAGAGGATGGACATCAGAAGAGGGAGAAAACAAGAAAACAGGACAAGAGCCTACCACAGAGGGCCTCTGAAAGACTCTACACTGCAGGGTATCAGAGCAGATGCTGAGACTTATAGCCAAACTTTGGGCAGAGTGCAGGGAATCTTATGAAAGAAGTGGGAGATAGTAAGACCTGGAGAGTACAGGAGCTCCACAGGAGAGCAACAGAACCAAAACCTCTGGGCACAGGGATCTTTTCTGAGACTGATACTCCAACCAAGGACCGTTCATGGAGATAACCTAGAACCCCTGCACAGATGTAGCCCAGGGCAGTTCAGAGTCTAAGTAAGTTCTATAGTAATGGGAACAGGACTGTCTCTGACATGAACTGATTGGCCTGCTCTTTGATCATCTCCTCCTGAGGGAGGAGCAGCCTTACCAGGCTACAAAAGAAGACAATGCAGCCACTCCTGATGAGACCTGATAGACTAGGATCAGAAGGAATGGGAGAAGGACCTCCCCTATCTGTGGACTGGGGAAGGGGCATGGTAGAGAAGAGGGAGGGAGGGTGGGATTAGGAGAGGATGAGGGAGGGAGCTATAGGTGGGATACAAAGTGAATAAACTGTAATTAATAATATTAATAATAAACTCTCTGCTGAGTATTTCATTGACTCCTTTGTCACAGACCTGTTATACATAAGGATTCCTACTGCGGTCAAGCCTATGTTTCCTTCAACAGTGACACGTCTTTCATGCGTCATGTGCCTCCTTCCCAGATCCCAGCCACTATGCAATTAAGTAAAGTGCTACAAAATGCAGTAACGGTGATAACTGAGTGGATCTCACAAGCTTCTACAAGAACAAACTCCTCATTCAGAGGATCCCCAAATCATCACAGAGACAAACGCTCCAAACATAAGCAGCAACAGTACCCTTTGGTTTTGTGTAACTCTCATATGTATTTATGGCATATATAATGCAATTATAGGACAATCTCATGTTTACTTCCTCCAAACCTCAGCTGATTGACTCACAGATATGGGACTTTCAGGTACAGAGACCAACTGTATTTGATTTTATTGTTTTAGCTTAAAGAATTTTCTAATTCTTGAGTTACTTGAACCAAGCATAGCCCTTGATAAAAGCATATTCCATACTAACAACCATTACGTAGATAGATGTTACACAAAAATCAGAATTACACTTCCCCACTATGATCAGCTCAAAGTTATTGTCTTGCAAACCGAACCCCAGCACATCTGAATTTATGGTACAGGAAACCTCAAGATCAGCTCAAACATATGCTTGCTCTCCAATAAGAGCACATAGTGTTCTCTGTTTAAAAAACTAGTTTTTAAAGGGATTTTAGAAGTTGTGGGACTCTTAAATCAAGCAATTGGCCAAGAGCCAACCTATTCAGAAAGGTTTCCATGAGTGAGAATGCCAGAGCTAATGATAAAAAAAAACAGTAAATGAAGCATGGAATCTGTCTCACTTGATGAGCAAGTCAGAGAGCAGAGAAAACAGTTTCTTGTAGGTGTGGATATGCAGGGTCTGAGGCAGCTGCACATCTGAGGTGCTAACTTCAGCTTAATTTTTGTACTTTATATGTAGCGAAGCTGATACACAGACATTCTACTTACCTCATTTCTTTGGAGAGAATAGTCCAAGCTTTTGGCTCTTAAGCCTAGAAGAAATAAGGGAAAAAAAAAAAAAAGATCTATCATGCTGACTGCACTTGCTCAAAAGTCTACATGAGGAGGAAACAGGGTTTTAACAAGCCAACAAAATTCAAAGAAAAAATTACTGAAATAACATGTACAAAACATTCCAGGAGCTAAACTGTTGAAATCACCCTCTAAAGGATGTCTCTCTAAAAACTCGTGATCCTAAGGACACAATCTCAGTCACTAGGAAACAAGTCACTCAGTCACTAGGAAACAAATGTAACTCTGATCAACATACTTTTCAAGCCAGCACCAAATCTCTCCAAAAGATCATCCAGTGAGAACTGTGAACATCTACCTATTTCTCTCTCTATGTGAGAGATAATATTTCTGTTATTTTCTGTATTTACCCAAGTGCTAATGCTATTTAAGAAGACAAAGTCACTCTCTAGGCAGCCAGATTTCCTCAAGATGGTCAGATGTTTAGTCATTTGGACATACTTCTTCAGTAAGTTCCAGCCAGCGCAGACAGTTACATACAGAACCGATTCTTAACCTCTCAGAACTCGAATTTGTGAATACAGTGAGGAATATCTCTCAAACAATAACTTCTTAGATAACAATATATTTTGGAGAAATAGCTCAGTAGAAGTGATGAGAAAATGTTGTTGTCACAGACCATCTCCATCGAATATAACTCCTGGAAGAGTTGGTATATATATATATGTTCTGAAAATGTAGAAAATATAGTACTACCAGTTATGTGGATTTTCCACAATCAAAGAAACAGTACAACTCACCAAACCCCATGGTTGGCAGTGACTTGGGAAGCGGAATGCCTCTTCACAGGTTATGGAAATCACTGGTGTTTATATTCTCAGAAGGCTGAGCACAACAGCATTATCATTATCCATCACATTCACATGATTTTATTTCAGTATGTGGTGACAGTCATTATTTGTTGTTAGATAGAGCTGTTCATGTCTTATGGTGACTAGTTTAGAAATTAAACTTAAGCATAGGCCTGATATAATAAGATAGCAGGGTTTAATATTAGCTGCACTTTCAGGCTCTCATTTGGGCCTCAGACTGTTATTTACAAATAAATGGTAGATACTGTAAATAGAGAGGGAATGCATCACGGCAAACAAGCAGAACATCCATAGCTTCCCTTGCAAGAGTGTGACATGAACACAAACGTTCAGGTGACACATCGATGGTGCGGTGCTATCTGCACCTCCTAAGGTATGTGAGCATTAAATGAGCTGATGTGTGGGCTTGGCAGGGTAAGAGATCCTTGTTGAGGTTACTAATGCCAGGGTACGTTATATTTCTAACTCATCTTTTACAAAGTTCTGTACGTTATTTGGGTTAAATTTCAGAGTGTCCGAATAAAGTTCTTATGATTATTTTTACAATCATATCTTTGTGTTGCAGGAGGTGCTCTTAAAAGTACTTAACTTCCACACTTTCAAGCATATCATGAAAATGAACCAATGATGGCTGAACCACTTAGATTCACTGCGTGTTGACTTTTCCATGCAAAAGAGGAAAAGAGAAATAAAACATTCTTTGAAAGATCTATAACATAAAAAACCACACTCCAAGGGCTTTTCCAGCAAATACTACCTCAATATATAGGTAAGATTTAACACTTCCACCAAACGGTTCTCATTTGACTTGTGAGTGAAATGAAGACTGATTATTCTAACATGGTTTCGATATGTCTTCCACAGTTTTATGTGCTGGGAATCGAACGCCCAGTGTGGTAATGTTGAAAGGGGAAGGTAAAAACCTAGGCACACCTAACTGGGCCATTCCAGGTATCACATTTGGAAGAAACTAATTTAACTCTAGAGGGGCCTCAGTCATTCCTCAGGGGAACAACCTGTCATAGAAAGAGAACACCACGCCCCCAACTCTTTCTGGTATTGTGTCTTACCACAAAATGTTCTCTCATTTGTACCCCTGCAATAATATCAGTCACCATCACATATGACATAGCCAGAAACCAAGATGTACATGTGACAGTCTTAACTCCAAACCCATGAGCTAATTACTCTGCTCCTCATATAATACCACTATCATTAAAGCAACACCAAATGAATGAACAAGTCTTGTGACAAAGAGGTCAGACTCAAAACCCTCAGAGATACATATTTATCTCTCAAGTTATGGTACAGAGGACATCAACTCAGTAGGGCTTTCCTTTCTTAAAGTCAAAAAAAATGGTCATAGTTACAACAAAGAACAGTGCAAGAAACAAATGGACCCCTATCACAGAGTTGACCAAAAGCACATCTTTACACAAGGCACACAGTGATTTGACAGCTTCGTTTTTAAAGAGAGTAAAATAAGAACTCTGAACAGGAGACCCTCCTTCAGCTGCCTCTTCTCCTTTGCTTAACACAAAAGCAGGCAGGATAAGCACGTGCAAACTCTAATCTGAACTTGGCATGATGAATTTGAAGATTCTGACAAAGGAAGTCTCCCATCCTCTTAGGAGCCCTGCTAACCTCCTCTCACAGTACTTTAACTTTTAACCTCTCCTGACCTGGAGTAAACTGTCTCCTCTGGTTCAGCCTGGTTCATCTTGCACATTGTGGCAGTTCAGATATTCTCCTCTCTAGCCTTGCCCCAGATTACCCCATGAGTACTTCTCTGTGTTGAGTCTTCTTCTAAGCAAAAATATAGAAGAGGATAAGTTTCTCCCCACCCCCATATAACACACACACACACACACACACACACACGAACACACACAACTCACTGGTTACCTCACACACAAATGTTCACATGTCAGATACATTATACACCAAACAAGAGGACTGGGGCTGGAATGTGGACTCAGGGTTTTAGAGTCCACACTGCTCTTCCAGAGGACCAAAGTTCTTTTTCCAGTACCCATAACACGCAGCTGATGATTGCCTGTTTTTCCAGCTCCAAGGAATCCAAGGCCTTCTTCTGGCCTCTACAGGCACCTACACACATGGCAGAAGCACAGATACATGAATAAAAATAAACATAAGGGGCTGGAGAGACGGTTCAGCAGTTTAGAGCATGTATTACCCTTGTAGGGGATCAGATTCCATTTCCAGCACTCATATAGCAGTCCCAACCATCTGTAATGCCAGTCCCAGAGGACACAATGTCCTCTTCTGGTTTCTGAGGACATCATGTATGCATGTGGTACACACACAGATACACTCATACATATAAAACAAATCTAAAGAAAACATTTAAAATAAATAAATAAATGAATAAAAATATTTTTAAAAGTTATAAAACAAAACAAACAAACAAAAACAAAACAAAACAAGGGACCTGAGGAGGCCAAACTTGGCACCAACTCCAAATGAGCACCTTGGGATTCCTCTACCACAGGAGACTTGCTGTATGTGAGAAACCAGAGATGTGAAGGGTAGTACTAATCATTAAAATGAGCCATCATTTACATGCTGGAAATGAGAGCCAGTGCAAACTGAGCTGCCAGAAATCACCCTACCAAGAACATGCTCTCTTGCAAAACTAGTGCCCAAAATAGCCCTTGTGTTTTCTAAGAGATCATCTTATGTTACACACTCACCAGCATCACAAAATAAAACGCAGCCACGTAGCACAATAAACACTATATTTGGGTCAATATCAGATCACAGTAGGGTTAATGCTCCCAACTTTGTTCTGTGTCCTGGTATACAAGAGGAAGCTCTACCACCCAGGCTTTTGAAATCACCTAAGTGCAGATTTTTTAGAGTGTATTCCTGTTAAGAACCACTAACTACTGCATGAGAACTCAAATATCCTCATGAAAAAAAAGGGCGGGTAGTTTTATTAGATACACTATTTAATATAGCTGTAAAAATACCACTCTACATTCAGCTTTTAAACTTCCATTTCTATTGCTAAACTTTTAATCTATTTTTTTTCCAGTGTCAGCTTGTCAATAGCAGTCACAGAAACATAAACAGCAGTGTGTTAGCTTGAGTAAGAATGGCCCCTATAGGCTCATATACTGCAATATCTGGTCAGCAGTTTGGTGGAACTGTTTTGGGAAGGATTAAGACATGTTGCTTCTGACATGAACTCAGTGGCTGGCTCTATGATCACCTCTCCCTGAGGGAGGAACAGCCTTACCATGCCACAGAGGAAGACAATGTAGCCAGTCCTGATGAGACCTGATAGGCTAGGATCAGATAGAAGGGGAGGAGGACCTCCCCTATCAGTGGACTTGGAGAGGGGAATGGGAGGAGATGAGGGAGGAAGGGTGGGATTGGAAGGGACTGAGGGAGGGGACTACAGCTGGGATACAATAATAAACTGTAATTAATATTAAAAATAAAAATTTAATTAACAAAAGAGGTGTTGCTTGTTGGAGGAAGTATGTCACTGGGGTGAACTCTGAGTTTCAAAAGACCACACCATTTCAATTTAGTTCTCTCTCTCTCCCCTTTCTCTCTGCATTTTGCCTGTGGATCAGGATGTAAGACTCAGCTCTTGCTCCTGTGTCATGTTTACCGCCATGCTCCCTGCCATGATGGTGATGGACTCTAACCCTCTGAAACTGTAAGCCTCCCAAAACATTTTCTTTTATAGATTGCCTTGCTAGTGGTGTCTCTTCACAGCAATAGAAAAGCAACTAGAATGAATAGGCAGCCAGACCAGAACAGCAAAGCAGGGGACATTCCGATTTCACACCTCGAAAGACAAGGAGCTCTGCTGCTAGGTCCCTGCTCTTTTGAGTTTTGGGCTGCTAGGTCCAGAGGTATGCACAGGATGTGGACACTAAACTTCTTTCAATATGAATTTCTCCTACCTCCATCCAAGTCAGAGGAATAGCTGAGATTACACCAGAGCTTCAAGTAAGTAGGCTCACCTTAAGACTAAATTGCATTGAGATGCAAATTCCTGAAAGACTGAAATAGCTCATCTCCATGTGGATGCAATGAAGTATTGTTCTTTATTACTCAGAAAAAAAAAATATATATATATATATATACACACACATATATTTTTGTTTTATATTTTTTCCTTCAAAGAATTTGTAAAAGCCACTGGTGGGATTAAAAACTATGCAGACACTTAAAAAACAGTGTGTGGCCACTTCTTAAAATATTCAATACAGAGTGACTACATGTTCCATGGACCCCGAGTGAGTCCATGTGAGTCCGAGTGAGAATCTTACCCTTCTCTCTTCTAATGCCCAAATTTATATCTAATAACAGTTTTTTTTTTTAAGACAAACAAACAACAAACAAAACCCAGAATCATTAAGAGAACTGAGGCTTGGAGAATCCAGCAGGAAAACTGTATATTTAGGGAAAAAAAATATGTCAACTAAACTATATAAGTCAACAGAATATAGGTCAGTGAAAACCTCAGTAAAATCTGACTAGTGTTCTCAACAGAAATAAGGCTTCAGTTAAGGCTTCTGTAACACACACACACACACACACACACACACACACACACACACACACACAGTAAACAGTTCACAAGAGCTTAATAGCTCTTAAGTTTTGTCCCATAACCACCATCTCAAAACAGGGCTGAAAGTCTGCAAAGAGCTGACAGGAAGACCTCAGGGCCAGCTCCTTACTGGAGGGTCGCCATCTGTGCAGGCTATCCTTGGAAAATCCACCTTCCAGGAGCAGAATTCCCGAGCCCGGGCGCCAGAAACGTCATTTACTCGGGGTCAGTGGGGTCTGAGACAGAGAGAGACGCCCGGCGATTATAGGGAGTCACAGGTTGTAGGTCCCTGGCGGGCAGGTCCATCCTAGAATGTCACCCTCGCCTAGCAGGATCAGCGCAGCGCGGGGTTCGCCACGGGACAGAAACACGCAGCTGCCAATGTCCCCCAGAAACCCCGCGCTGAGAAGTTTCCCGTGCCAGCTTAGCGCCTGCCTGCTGTCCTACCTTCCTCCTCCACCATCTCCAGCAGATTCGGGTCGCCCAGCTTTGCCAGCTCGTTGAAAGCACTGAAGAGAGAGAGGCAGGGTCCAGTGGACCGCTGTGATGGGCGGCGAGATGAGTTGGGGCAGAGGCTGAAGCGGATGGTAGGTCGCCTTTGTCCCAGGAGCGACTCTGAAGTCCTTAAGGTGTCCAGACCCAGGGACACCTGAGGTGCCAGAGATATTGGAGGCAACAGGGACGTTCGAGGTCTCCGGTGAACCAGAGGCACTAGCGACACCCGAGGAGTCAAGGTCCAGCGACGAGCCAGGGACGGACTGACCGGAGCTGAAGGCTTAGGGAGGCTCTGCAGGTTGGGCTTCTTTTCCGGGCGGTACTTGCCCTGACTCTTGCGGCGGCGGCCGCCAAACAGACCAGAGTCTACGCTCCTGCGCTTCACTGACTGTAAGCTAGTGTGCTGCTCTGTCCCCTCCATGTCAGGCTCTTGGTCCTGGCTAACCTGTCCTAAATTCCCTTCTTCCTCCTGCTGATTGCCCACTTGCTCAGCCAGCTCCCGCTGATGATTTCTCCACTGCCCCTTTTGCCTTCCTGGGGTCTTGCCCTTAGAGACCACCGACTCGCTGATCTCTCCAGACACCTCGGACTCCTCCCCACTTCTTGCCTCATGTATTTGCAGCAGCATCCCCACTGTTCTTACTCTTCTTCTGTCCTCCGGTGCTTCCGGTGTTTCCACCTGGTTCTCTTCCGAGACCCTCACCATGACCACATCACTGGAGACGCCAGGCCGCTCCACACTTCTTGCCTCCCCAAGGCCCCTAACCACATCTACATCTTCTGGAACTCCTGGTTCTTCCACCCTACCATCATCCCTGGGGACCTCAGGTCTGGTGGGTTCCTGGGAGTCCCGGGGCTCCCTTCGCTCTTGACCATCCAGCTCCATATTCAACAGGCTTCGAGCTTCCTGTTTTAACCGGTCCACCCACTCAAGGCAGGTGCGCACAGTTCGCCATCTCCAATCCTTCTTACATCCCCTCTGGTGGGAAGCCTCAGCCTACTAGTAGGCCTGGGCCCTCTGGATTGCCTGGCCCTCCACTCAAAGTGAAGCCAGCTAGGACCAAATCTTCTTCCCAGTTGGGGTTATTTTCTGTCAGGCGGGAAAAAGATACGCTTCCCTTAAAGTTCCTCTCTCCCTTTAAGGCCTGAGCGTGACGTATGTCTTCTCCAAGGTTCCAGAAGACACTTGGCTAGGTATCTGCTGCAATTTGACTGTTGGTTCTTTAATGGTCACTTCCTGGATGCTGAACCGGGAGCATTTCTGCAGTGGGAGAAGATCAGAGTTTGGGTCAGTCTCTGCCCCTTCAAAGTTGGATAGGCATGGGCTAGGTAAGCGTGCATCACAATGTATGTGAACGGTGCAAACGGAAATGCCCTATAATTGTGAATGGGTAAGGGGACATCTTCTACAGTCTAGTTGAGAATAATACCTTCTAAGGTATGCGCGGAGCATGCTGGGATAAATGCTAGAAGTCAGCCTGCATTGCCCTACGCTTCACTCTACCTCTTAATTTAACAAAGACGCAGAGGAATCCCCAGGGAAGAGATTGCTCTGAATTGGGCCTGGCAGCCCCACAGTACTTAGGAGATGGGAGTTACTGATGAGGTGATCAGGGTGGGATGGACTGAAGGTGAAATGGCCGGATACCTGAGCAGGGCACCTTGGCAGTGCAGGGATCATCACGCTGTTTAGGGCTAGGCTGGGGTGATTTGAGGAACAAGGGACAGTTGACCACAGAATATCTGGCGTATCTTGATGGTGTGGTTGCTGTGGGTTCTAGTGAGGTTTGGAAACGGAGAAATCACCGTTTAAAATTTCCGGGACTGCTATGATTTTTGCTGCACAGCCGCAGTCTCTCTTTTTCTACGGTGTCTGGATTTTCTTCCACTGAACTTCTAGGAACACTGCATGTCTAAGTGATTCAAGACTGCAGAACTAGTCTTTCCTTGATGTATTTTGCAACCGTATTTGAAAAATGGATGTGTATAAGGTGAGCAATAGATGTGCGTGCCTCTTCTCATAATTATGATAGAACTGTTTACTCCTTCCTTATTGGCATCCCTAACCTACTTCATTTAACTCTTTCCAGCAACACCCTCCCAGAAACACTCACCTAGGAGACATCTCCTAGGTGATTCTAAATCCAGTCAAGTTGTCAATCAAGATTAACTTTACACTGTATTTTTGTTATTGTCTTGTCTTAAGAAAATAAGTCATTTCTTTTCCTAAAATAAAATACCCTGACAAAAAGCAACTTAGAGGAGAAAGGCTTTCATCGAACCTACAGCTTTAGTCCAGCAAAGCAGAAAACAGAATGGAAAAAGAAAAGAAAAGAAAAGAAAAGACAAGACAAGACATGGCTGATCCTAGGAATGGTGAAAGAGAAAATTTATTGTAGATAAAAGGGAGAGCAGAGTTAGAGACTAGCCTGAGGTGGAGATATCTGGGAAAGTTCAGAGTGGACAAGACCAGACTAAGCTGGGCCATGTGGGGGAAGGGGGAGGGAAAAGAAGAGGGGAGAGAGGAGAATGAGGTTCAGCAGCCATCAGGACAAAGGTAGAAAAAGGGCAAATAACCAATGCACCTGGATTATATGGGAAAGAGCAGCCCAGACTTTGGGCTGAAGAACTCAGAGTAGAGTGTGTATATGCCAGCTACTCCCTGTAACAGTCAGGGACTGAGGGACACTGGGAGAACCTGCAGGCCAAGTCCACTCTGATGTGTTAAATAGGCCACCATAGCCATTGTCCCAGGTTTGAAACTTAACAAAAACAAGTTACTTTTGATTTTGTCAAATATTTTAAACTTACATCTATACTAATTATTATTGTCATTTCTCTTAATATGTCTCACTCATCATTTACTGAAATCATTTTCAGCTATCTTGCAGCCACAATGGGCAGTTTGGAAACAACCCCAGATTCAACCTTGCTTCCACATTCCCGCTGCAGTGCTTTGCCTGATAGTCAATTGTCTTTCTTCCAAGCAAGGTTGTCTAATGAAAATGATAATGGAGGTTTAATCACTTAATGGTTCAGTGATTCACTTACAAATACTAGCTCATTCACATTTTAGCTCTATCTCTGTGTCTCTTAACCTTTCTGAGTGGCAGCTTCATTATCCGTAAAAATGAAGAAAACAATTCACCCCCACAAGGTTGTTCAGTGTATTAAAACCATAATTTATGTCTTCTCTTATTGGAGGTTGGGTGGACCATCTGGTGGTTAAAACTTTTGCTGCTGATGGAGGAGGTCCTCCTCCCCTCCTATCTGACCCTAGCTAATCAGGTCCCATCAGGACTGCCTGCATCATCTTCCTCTGTGGCATGGCAAGGCTGCACCACCCAGGGGGAGGTGATCAAAGAACCAGCCACTGAGTTCATGTCAGAGACTGCCCCCCTTATGAAGGAACCCACTTGGAGGACTAGGGAAGAGGCATAGGGGGAGAAGAGGGAGGGTGCGTGCACTAGGAGGAGGCGAGGGAGGGGCTACAGAACAGATACAAAGTGAATAAATTATAATGAATGAATGAGTGAATGAATAAATAGATAGATAGATAGATAGATAGATAGATAGATAGATAGATAGATAGATAAATAGATGAGAACTTTTGCTGCTCATGCCGAGGACTTGAGTTCAGTTCCAGCATTTATGTCAGGTGGCTCATAACCATCTGTGACTCCAGTTCCAAGAAGTCTAAAGCTCTATTCTGGGCTTTTTTTGAGTACCTGTACATATGTGTACGTACACATACATGTATACATATAAAAAATTTTTTTGAGACAGGGTTTCTCTGTGTAGCCATGGCTGGTCTAGATCTTTCGACCCGGATGGGCTTGAACTCACAGAGTTCCATCTGCCTCCACCTCCCAAATGCTGGGATTAAAGGCATGTACCACCACCACCAGGCTTAAATTTTTTTTTAATTTTTATTTTTTATTACAGTTTATTTACTTTATATCCCAGCGGTAGCCTCCTTCCTCAATTCCCTCCTAATCCCACCCTCCCTCCCTCTTCTCCTCCCTGCCCCTCTCTAAGTCCACTGATAAGGGAGGTCCTTCTCCCCTTTCATCTGACCTTAGCTTATCAGGTCTCACCAGGCTGCAATGTCCTCCTCTGTGGCCTAGCTAGGCTGCTCCTCCCATGCGGGGTGGGGAGGTAAAAAAGCTAGCCATAGAGTTCATGTCAGAGACAGTCCCTATTCCCCTTACTAGGGAAGCCACTTGGATACTGCCATGGGCTACATCCGATCAGAGGTTCTAGCTTATATCCATGCATGGTCCTTGGTTGGAGAATCAGTCTTAGACAAGACCCGTGTGCTCAGATATATTTGGTCCTTGTAGAGCTCCTGTCCTCTCCAGGTCTTACTAACTCCCCCTTCTTTCGTATGATTCTCTGCACTCTGCCCTAAGTTTGGTTATGAGTCTCAGCATCTGCTTTGATACACTGCTAGGTAGAGTCTTTTAGAGGCCCTCTGTGGTAGGCTCCTGTCCTGTTTCTTGTTTTCTCCTACTTCCAATGTCCATCCCATTTGTCTTTCTAAGTAAGGATTGATCTTCTTACCCCAGGTCCTCCTTCTTGTTTAGCTTCTTTAGGTGTACAGATTTTACTATGTTTATCCTATCTTATAGGTCTAGTATCCACTTATAAGTGATATATACCCTGTGTGTCTTTCTGCTTCTGGGATAGCTCATTCAGGATGATCTTTTCTAGTTCCCACCATCTGCCTGCAAATTTCATTATTTCCTTGTTTTTAATTGCTGAGTAGTATTCCATTGTGTAAATGTACCACAATTTCTGTATCCATTCCTCCATTGAGAGTCATTTGGGTTGTTTCCAGGTTCTCGCTACTACGAAGAAAGCTGCTATGAATATGGTTGAACAAATGTCCTTGTTGTGTACTTGAAAATATTTTGGATATATGCCTAGGAGTTCTGAGATTAAAGACATGCACCACCACTACCACCACCAGGCTTAAATTTTTCCAAAATAAATAAAACACAAGATGTCTTCATTCCATTGGATTTGTTATTGCTGAGGAGATACTGCAACTATTTACTACTAATATCTCTCCTTTTTTAAGGAGAACGGCTTTACCAGTATGGCATACTTCTGCAATCCATGGTACAAACTTAAAGGTCTCCAACCTTAAAAAGCTAAGTACATGACACATAAAAATGTCAATACAAACATTGCTTAGAATGTTGGGACCAGTTTTTATTATC